TTGATGAGTTATTTATTACAAGTGACAACTTTTCAATATAATATCGGATACTTGATTACGTTACTTACGCCTGTTACTCCCAGTGGAGCATAGTCTGCCGACCAGCGTTCTCCAACCCCACTCTGTCCTGGGACTTCCTTTCTAGTTCTATCCAATTGTTTTTCATTCTTCTCATATCTGTCTCTATTTCTCGGCTTAATGTGTTTTTTGATCTTCCTCTTTACCTTTGGTCATCAGGATTCCATGTAAGGATTTGTCTTATGATGCAGTTGGGTGATTTTCTCAATGTGTGTCATATCCACTTCCAGCTCTTCTTCTTGATTTCTTCCTCCTCTGGTTTGTTCTGTTCCACAGTAGCTTATTGCTGATAGTGTCTGGCCAATGGATCTGAAATATTTTGCATAGGCAACTAACTCGCCTGACAAACGGTAACCAGGTATAATACTAGATAAATTTTAATAAATTACTATTGATTAAAATGTTGCCTACTAAAGCATAAATCTTTCAGGAAATCATGGAATAAAAAAATTAGTGGATTTGGTAAAACAAAATTAAATGCTCATTTTTTATATTTCAAATGTCAAAATGTGTTACTATAGTGATGAAATTGGTTAATGTATACCCGGGAGAAGTTAAACATTCAAAAATAAAACAAAAAAAAGAAATACACAGGGACTCCACATATCTTTTGTAGAATGTGTTAGTAAACAAATGACAGTTAAGTGATTAAAGCTTTGATTCTTGCTATGCCGCGTACTACTAGACTACTTGAACGATCGAACCCGCAACGTCACAAGAGAGAAGACAGAAGACTAGTAAGTAGGAATTTTATTCCCCAAACAGTGTCAAATATAACACCAAAAACCTTATATATTTGTAGTTTTTTTGGCTGTAAGTAAATCATCATTTCGGACAGCCAATAGGCACATAGGGGGTCATTCTTATTCATCCAATAGGGAAGGTACACGTCGACGTTCTAGAATGTTGCCTTAGTGGTGATTGGATGGAATGTCTTCGGCTCTTTCTGAGCTTCTTGAGGCTTCCTTGAGTAAACCAACGAGCCATCCTTACAAAAACATTATTATTATTTGAATAGGAGGTAAAGTTAAAGTATATTACTGGATCACCTTGAGGTTCTAATTTGTTTTAGCCCATCAGGAAGGTGTGATTATAAATCAATAAATGATAATATAAAATTAAACAGTCCATGAATGATATACATATATTTTCTCTACAGGGTTATTGAACATTTTCAAGTTCCTAATCGTTAAAGTGTGGCTTAAGAACGATGTTGACAATTAGAATTTAAGGTTAGTTTATCCATTACATTACTCGTTAGTCAGTTGAAGCTAGATCACCATGGAAAATCTTGAAGCACTGGACGGCCGTTCCGTTCTATTGTGGAACTCCTCAGCAGTGCGCATCCACGATCTTGCCTTGCGAGATTCAAACCCAGAACCTATCAGTCTCGCGCCAGAGCACTTAACCGATAGACCACTGAGCCCGCATCCGATGGTGTTGATGTATAACTTCAACCAATCCACGAAATCTGAGCAACCGTTCACCAATTGTCTTCAGTGAGTTCCTATCTCACAACAGACGTGGTTTGAACTCCACTGGTCACTGCTTCTCACTAGAACTCCAGGAAGTACCTCTTGAAGTCAGTCACTAGTGAGAATATGATTATTATTATCAGAAGGGGTTTTGTCGAGATTTCAGTATTTTCATAGTTGAAAGCATGAGGCGAGGTGAGATCGTGCATGCACACTGCTGAGGAGTATTCCAACCTCATTCCTGATTCTAACAAGTATTACAACAAATATAGCACTCCATATGAGATACCTTGTTAATCTTACCAGTTGTTCACGATCATTTTATGCTTGACAGTTAGTTTTCCTTAGTAACCTGACGTTTTACAAGCACTAGTCTTGATATTTCTTAAGAATCTTTATATTGGAAATCACAAAATGGAGTCATATTATAAGTAAAGTTGTAGAGTATTAAGTTCAATTGACGTTCAGAATTAAACATGATGTATTAGATTCTTTTCATTTGCCTCCCGCTGATTGATCATTGAATTTCACCCCAACAAAATGAATATCAGATTATCACAAAGCTTATTAGCTTAGAATTGATAGATTATTCGATTTACCAACCATCTTGATTGGCTTTTTCTCTTCTCAACTAATTAACAATTTAATATAAACAACGTTTAATATGGAACGTTCGTACAATGTGGGAGACTGGGAAAGTCTTGCAGATTGGTGCAGAAATGAGGAAATACAACCTGAAGATGGTTGGAATCAGTGAAACACATTGGATGAAGGTTGGACAACAAAGACTAGCTTCAGGGAAGCTGCTGTTATACTCCCACTATAAAAAAGAAAATGCTTTACATACACAAGGAGTTGCTCTAATGCTGTACAAAAAAGCACAAAATGCACTTACAAGATGGGAATCTCATGGATCAAGGATCATCAAAGCCTCCTTCAAAACGAAGAAAGAGGGCATTACCATGAACGTCATCCAATGCTATACGCCTACCAACGATTACAATGAAGACGTTAAAGATAAATTCTATGATAGGCTGTAGTCAATCGTTGAGAAATGCCTAACAAAGGACCTGACCATTCTGGTAGGAGATTTAAATGCCAAGGTTGCAATGGACAACACGGGATATGAAGATATCATGGGACGACATGAACTAAGAGAAAAGAACGAAAAATGGTAAGAGATTTGCAAACCCATATGCTTTCAATAAGCTTGTCATAGGCGACACCAAATTCCCACAAAAACGCATACACAAAGCTAAATGGATTACACCGGATCACAATACACAGAACAAAATCAACCATATCTGCATCAATACAACAGACGTTTCGTTCTAGTATGGGATTCTTCACCAGTGCGCATACAAGACCGCACACGAGGTCATTAAACCATCGACATTTGATCTCACACTCAGACTCCTAATCTCTAGACCACTGAGTTGGTATCCGACGATGTTAATGTATAACTTCAATCGACCCATGATCTTGATCAACCATTCATCCATTGTTTGAAGTAGATACTTGCCTCTACCCGAAACAGATTGAACTCCACTGGTCATAGATTCTTACTTTCTTACCACATTTTAATTGTATATATACTTTGGTTTACAATTCACAAATCGAATGGAAAAATGATGTGAATAGCGAAACAAGAAGCCTTAACAAACTACGGAAGCTATTTTTGGAGACGTTATTTCACTTAATTCAAAGCTTGTAATACAGTAACATTTACTTTACTCATAAGCTTTCGTTTGATGTATGATTCACTGCCATAACTTTTTCTATTCCAAAGCTATTGTAATTTAGATGTAACCTTTTGTACTCTAGTTCCGACTCTATTCCCTCAGTTATGGACGTAATTGTACTTTCCTAATTGTTGTACGTTGTGGTGTGGTTAGTCGTCTATATTTTTCATGTATCGTTTTTCGCTAATCTGAAGCAGAAACCAGGTCGGAATCGGAAATAAAACGTGTTCCAATTGACTTGTCTTCTCTCTCTGGTGCACACGTGCTTGTCAACTAATCAGATGATAAAATTGTATGCGCCTTTCTACCCCCACTTCGAACTCACGCATACAAGCGTCAAGGTTAAACCAGTCAACCTATCGTGTCAAGGTCTTAATCTACATTTAAGCAAGTTATTCTTGGCACGAAAGTGTGTAAACAGATCAAGGACGTAACAAAAAAATTATCATAATCATTTCCTTTCTTTTTTTCTTCTTTTTCTTTCATGAATATTGAAAACAAAAAGAATGATTAATTTTATATAATAAAAAAGGAAATAGCTAACTAAACGATAAACATGCACACATAGATCATTCCCATTCAAAGTTGCCGTTTCGTCCTGTTGTGGGACTCCAGAGCACTGTACATCCACGATCTCGCCTCACGAGATTCGAACCCAAGACCTACCAGTCTCACGCCAGAGCACTTAACCGATAGACCACCGGGCCGGCATCCGATGGTGTTTATGTTTATGAGGAGTCCCACGATAGGATGAGACGGCCGTCCAGTGCTTTCAGGTTCACCATTATGGTCTAGTTTCAATCGACTCATATTTCTAAATGGTTGATTGACATAAAATTCCCTTATCTTGGAAGTCTGATCAGCCCGAACATGTTGGTGTCTGACGACATCTCAGCACGGATTCAGAAATCTCACTTGGCGTTTGCCAACTTACGTCACCTATGGCGAAGATGGGATATTCGTCTATCAATTAAGGGATGAGTATACTGAGCAGCAGTTCGTTCTGTTCTACTTTACGGCTGTGAAACGTGGCCATTAAGACTAGAAGATACTCGTAGGTTACTAGTATTTGACCACATATGCCGAAGAAATATTGCTTGCATCTGCTGCAATCACCAGGTAAGTAATAATAAGGCTAGACTCAGGGCATTAGAAAATGATGAGGTCATGAATCTTCATCGACTGAGATGGTTGGGCCACATGTTACGTATGCCTGAACACTGATTACCACGATGAGCCAAGCTGACTAGTGTAGGGGATGGTTATTAGAAAGTTAGGGGCGGCCAAGCCAAAACGTGGCATCAGTACTTGAAGTCGCTAACTTCTAGTCTGAGCCATGTTGGTAGATACAGATTATTTGATTGGGGTACGCGTGACTATCGTAACCAATGGTTGTAGACTGTGTGTTACATGGCTCAGAATCGATCACAATGGCGTAGGTGTATACACTCTTTATCTTCTTTTAAACATTGAGACTAAAATTGCTTCATATCTCTCTTCCTTCCTGTACTATATCCTTATATACAATCTTTCTTTTATATATTACCACCACTAAATTAACTACTTCTATGAATTCAGTGTTGATTTTGATGTGCTGATGAGGTATAACAACTTGAACCGATGCATAAATGTGCCTGGTCCTACGTTGTAGCTGACTGACTGACACAAAATTCGCATTTTGAACATTGAAATTAAAAACACAAAGTTCAGCGAAAGGATCTTATTACGTAATTTAATATTACAATCTTCCGATTACATCATCTTTGTTATTTGTGTTCAGATTTCATTTAATGAAATGGTTAGTTACTTTATGAAAAATAAGTCATTTAATAAGCCTTCTTCTTCTTCTTCTTCGAAGTTAACTTCCATCATATTCGATATATTACAGTCATTATCGATTATGTCATTCCATAGTTCATCTTGTTCATGATGATAATAACTACTTGGATAAAAGTGATCATAATGTTGTTGTTGTTGTTGTTTATGAGTGGTTATTGATTTACTTTGTTGATATGGTTGTATTAAAAGTGTTTGTGTTTGTTTTATTATATGATCATTATCTTGAAATGTTTCATTCATTAATTTGATTATTGATTCTAATTCTTTATCTGAATTGATTTCAATGATAGATTCATTCTGTTGTCGTTGTTGTTGTTGCGGTGGTGATGGTGATGGTTGTGGGAGTTGTCGTTGATCTCTTTGTTCTTGAAATATTTTACAATGTGGTAAAGATTGACTAATATCTCCTATTTGTTTTCCATGATCCTTTGGAAGTAAAATGTTTGTTTTCTCTATTAAAATTAATATAGAAGATATAATAAATTTGAAGATAAGAACTTTTGAGTGAAATTTACCATTTACAAATGAATTTACTTTACTTATTTACGTCTGTTACCCCTTGTGGAGGCTTCAACATATACAAAGAAAAAAGCAAGATTCTCAAACACATCACAAAGAACACCGACGCAATCACACTTAATGTGGAAACTCTGGAAGAGATGGAAACATTCACCTACCTGAGAAGCATCGTTGATAAACAAGGAAGATTGGATGCAGATGTTAAGGCGAGGATTGGAAAAGCAAGGACAGCATTTCTACAATTGAAGAACATATGGAACTCAAAACAACTCTCAACTCATTTCAAAGTGAGAATATTCTATACGAACATCAAGACAGTCCTACTGTATGGAGCTGAAACGTGAAGAACTAAAAGTATTTATAACCAATTGTTTACGCAAATTACTCAACATTCACTGGCCCGATACTATCAGCAACAGCTTTCTGTGGGAGAAGACAAACCAGTCTCAAGCTGAAGAGGAAATTAGGAAAAGACGTTGGAAGTGGATAGAACATACGTTGAGGAAATCACCAAACTGCATCACGAGGCGATCCCTAACTTGGAATCCGGGAGGGAAGCGGAAAAGAGGAAGGCCAAAGAATATATTACGTCGGGAAATAGAAGGAGATGTGAAAAGGATGAATATTAACTGGAAAGAACTGGAAAGGATTGCTTGGGAAAGAGTTGAATGGAGAATGCTGGTGGGCGGCCTATGTTCCTCGACGAGGGGTAACAGGCGTAAATAGCAGTAGTACCCCTCGTGAAGGAACATAGGCCACCCACCAGCATTCTTCATCCAATCCTATCCTAGGATTTACAAATTAGTCAAATTAAATTAAGAAATTTAAAAATTTAGAGACGATTGGACGTAGGTGTATGTTATAATTGTTTAAATATTACTTGAATAGATGAATGGTGTTGTAAAAAAATAATTATGTCACCAAGTACCTCATTTAAAAGTCCTAATCTCTGATATATTTCAATCGAAATTGAATAAATATTTAGGACTAAATTTACAGTTACAGTTGAGAGTACTAACTGAATTCTTTTGATCAAGTTTATTCTAGTGGAGTTTAATGATACAACATCATGATTCACTTTATTTGACAGCATCAATGTGTATACTTTGATTTTCTCCATTTTAACATCCGACAGGAAAGAGTCTTTATGGCCATTAGGGGACTTATAGGTCTTAAAATATTCTAATCAGCATTCTGAAGCTCCACAGTTCCAAATTCATGAACTCTTGGCGGTTGAATTAATAAACTAATATCAAATCAAAGTTTAACGTAATTTCATATCACTCACCCTAGTGGATATATTACACACATTGGATGATAGAATATGATAAGTACTTAAGATTATTGCCCAGTAATTAATACAATCTGATAACTTGTTCACATATTCAACTCAGATATAAGAGGAATCAACTATGACTTGGAAAAATTGGACAACAGCTTCGTGCAATACGAAACCATATAGCATTAATTTGTTCTCCCAATGCCTTGGTACGGCTGAGAGTGGGGAGAGTTCGCTTTTCCTCTCGAAATGCTCTCACATGACTACGCGTATATAGCCTCTACCAGGGAAGTCCTAATCACTGCTGCTATATCCTAGCGAAGACATAAGTACGGGTAACTACAAGGACCTATTATTGGACTATTATTCTATGTATATTCCTATTGTATAACTATTCAGTAACTAGATTATCTATATCTGTATTCATCTTATTATAAGCTTCATTTTGACCTATTGATTATTATTATACGATTTATTGTTCCCAAGTTATACTCAGTTTATTGATTATTGTCTCCCACGCTCACAGCCACATTTGGCTTGATTTTGTACAAATATTATTTTCTAATTTATGGTGTGATGTGGTCTGTCTATCTGATATATAAACAGAGTATGTTTAAAATAAACGATTCGCATAGATTCGCATAACAGAAGCTGCTATTGGTGTTCTGGACTCAAGTGGACAGGCTAGGCGGATAAGGACCAATAAGGACGCGAGATTACTCATATTGATTGAACGTCTTTGATTGTCACCATGTTAAGGTCGGAGAAGGCGTATTGTATTGGTGGATAATTCACGCGAGTTACGTCCTTGTTTAAGTTGTAAGGTCATAGCAAATTAACGACGACCTTGAACAAGTCATAACAACTGCCTTTTCGTGGCATTACTGTTGTTTACGAAAAGCAAATGTCCGGCAGGAGCTTTAACCGGGTTGGTGGATACGGAGAGTCCACCTAGGGGAGTTGGAAAATACTCATTCCAAACCAATGATGCACATGGGCTGTCTCCAGCATCCTGAGGGAACAGATGGGGTATGAACTAATCATTGGTCACTATCTAACATGGGATTGCATCTTCTCACGATGCTCCACTGTCTTGTGGATTAGATCTTTAGGACAAATGCTCCGTGTGTGGCCCCTAGGAAAACCACCTGCTCCGGTTTGGGCATCTAGGCAGTATCACAGCCCTTATACAAATGAGATTTGTGTGGTGCATATTTATCTGGTGCCTCTTTGTACCAATATTTATGTGTTTAAATAAGTAAATAATTTGACCTAAAAAAAGACTTATAATAGTTTTAGATGTGCTGTTCTAATGGATACCGATAATCACATATACCTTGATATAAGACTCCCTATTGATTTTGTGTTTCAGTTAATCCAGATCTATAAGATGAAGTATGGATAAGAAAAATCCTTACAACTAGTTTGGATCAATTGTCCTATTTGTCAAATTGGCAAAAAAGTATATTTTAGGGATGAATTTAAAACAACAGCAACAAATTTCTCTGAGTGCATGAATTTCCCTTTAAAAATTACAAGAGGTACCTGTCTGATTAGTTCAACTATAAAAATGTAATGTCACCAGGTTAAGATTTATCTCAGGATTAAGATTTTGAGATAGGATAGATCAGAAGGTGTTTTATGGAGATTTTAATATCTTCATAGTTGAAATCATTAGTCAATTGAAGCTAGATCACCAAAAAAAAAACCTGGAAGCATTAAAATCTCCAAAAATCTTCAAAGTGTATATTTCTTATATTTTACCAAGATACTCTATAATTCAAACGATTGTCTGTCCCCCCCACACACACACATTTAAATTCTTATTCATTATATCATCTATCTGGTTAGCGTTTTTTTAGCGAGTTGGTTTTCTACGAGACGGGGTCGTTAACCCTATACCCAACCGTCCTCCTTTACCCGGGCTTGTGACCGACAGTAGCCCCCGGAGGAGTTACAGGCGGAGTAAGTAAGTAAGTATATCATCTATTTCATTAACATATTCACATTTGAAGTAGTTCACTTAACAACAACAACAACGAAAAAAAAGAAAACCAGATACTAAATAGCAAATAGTTAATTAATTGATTTATTATTATTCATGTCTTTAATTTAGATTTATTATTATAGTTTAGTTGCTATCTCTATTATACCATAAATCACATACATCTAGCCATCTATCTATCCATCTATGTATCTATGTGGAGGATAAAACATTCTCTCTTAAAATTAAAAAAATAATAAAGTCATATGATTCATCCATTTATTTAATCATGATATAATAAATTTAATGCACGTGATCAGTGGCCTGACCACCATCAATCGATCGATTGATTGGTCGATCGATCAATCGATTGATCGATTGACTGACTGACTGACTGACTATTAGGCTAATTTTATTTATAAATTTGAAATGGAATTTGTTTGTTTGTGTGTGTTTGTTTGTTTACCAAAAAAGGACACATTAATAGATATACATTGTTGGTGCGAAGCTATCTATCTGACTGGGTTATAATAATAATAATAATAATAATAATAATAATAATAATAATAATAATAATAATAATATTATTATTATTATTATTATTATTATTATTATTATTATTATTATAGTATAATGTAAACGTTAACACAATTAATTGGGTGTATATTCTAATCATATGATCGATCGATTGATTGATCGAATAATGAAGCAATATAAAGTTAATCAATAAAATAGAGATAGTGCACAATAATCATTCAGTAGTATATGACGGTGACGGAGATGCTTTAAGGGAGGATGTGGAAACCTTTACATATCTGAGCAGCATCATTGATGAATATGGTGGATCTGATCCAGATGTGAGGACGCGGATCGGCAAAACAAGAGCAGCATATTTACAACTGAAGAACATCTGGAACTCAAAATAATTGTCAATCAACACCAAGATCAAAATTTTCAATATAAATGTTAAGACAGTTCTACTGTATGGGGCGGAGACGTGGAGAACTACGAAAGCTATCATCCGTTGATCAGACAATATCAGCAACAACCTACTGTAGGAGAGAACGAACTAGATGATTCCAGAGGAGGAAGAAATCAAGAAGAGGCGCTGGAAGTGGATAGGACACACTTTAAGGAAACCACCCATCTGCGTCACAGGACAAGCCCTCACATAGAATCCTGAAGGTTAGGAGAGAGTAGGAAGACGACAGAACGTATTACGTCAAGAAATGGAGACAGACATGAGAAGAATGAACAACAATTGAGTAGAACTAAAAAGAAAGGCCCAGGACAGAGTGGGTTAGAGAATGCTGGTCGGCGGCCTATGCTCCATTGGGAGTAACAGGCGTAATTAAGAAAGTAGGTAAGTATACGATGGTTGCATGATGAAAACAAAAGATAATAATTTGAAGCGCGCGCGAGAGAGAAAGAAGATATAGCTCTTTTAAACATTCCAAACTTGTATATAATTGAAATCATGAGTCAATTGAAGCTAGATAGCCATGGAAAACTTGGAAGCATTGGACGGCTGTTTCGTTCTATTGTGGGACTCCTCAGTGGCAGTGCGCATCCATGATCCCGCCTCGCGAGATTCGAACCCAGGATTTATTAGTCTCACGTGAGAGCACTTAACCGATAGACTACTGAACTTGATCATAACAATTTATGCAATAGTAGTGATATTATATGAAATGATTCAATTAGTTCGGTTGAATCTATGAATTAATTCGAGCTAGACTAACATTAAGAACCTGAAAGTATTGAATTAAACGTTTTGTCTCAGTATAGAACTCTTCGATAATGCATATCTATGATCTAACAATGTGAGACTGGAATCTAAAACTTTCAGTTTCAGTAAAAATTCAACAATCTCCATAACTTCATACCAATAATTATTATGTGTTAACTAGTGAATAGATTCAAGATGAAACGTCTGGAGATCTAGTCAGAAACTGTGACCAATGAAGTTCAATCTGTTTCGGGTAGAGAAAGGTATCTACTTCAGAAAATGGATGAATGGTTGATCGAGATCATGGATCGATTGAAGTCATAGATTAACATCGTCAGTTACCGACTCAGTGGTCTATAGGTTAAGAGTCTGAGTGTGAGATCAAATGTCGATGGTTTGAGGACTTTGTGTGCGGTCTTGTATGCGCAATCGTGAGGAGTCCAATACTAAAACGAAACGATGGTCCAGTACTTCCGGATTTGTAATGGTGGTTTAACATTGATCGGTTCATGATCTCAATACAAACTCAAAAATTTCCACAACCCTATACTGTCAATACATGATTTACATCACAGACTGGAATTAGTTAGACACCAAGTTAAAATTAGAAAACACTGAGCAGTTGCATTATCTTAGTGCTGGGCACCTCAGTGATCATGTGGACCCATAAACCCGATGGGCAGTGAATCAAAGCAAGACCTTCAGGTCCATTGTCAAGGGCATAACTTAAGATCGTTCAGCCGTATTATGTTCAGTAGTAGAATCTATGTAAATTGCATAGATACACAAACTGACTCTGTCACTTAGTCGTTACACTAAATAATTAATTTTGACAAAAGCATTAACCAAGAGTTATGTGTAGACCCCTAAAAACCTATTCGAGGTCTTATAAGTATTTGAGAAGACGGATATTCTATATTCATATGGATAAATGAAGACGCCGTTTTTTTTATTATTTGCAAACAGATAGTCACCCTGTAGTACAATCCAGTAGATTAATTAGTCATTTAGAACAAATAGATAGTGTATAGCAGTGGAATTTAGGATGTACGTTTCCTTCTTTTTGGAACTCGTCAGCTGGATGTGTCTGCTTCTTAGTGTTCGTATTTGCACCGCAAATTCAACTCATTAACTTGCGTTTCAAACACCATCGAACTAATGACTCGTATAGCCATCAACTTGTTCAGCAGGTCAGATGCTTACATCATTATTCAAATGCTCACTAATATATATAGTTAGATAGACAAGTAGTTGGTTAAACAGAGATTGATTGATTGACAGATGGATATATAGACAGATAGACTGACGGACATATTGACCTATAGACATATAGGCATGGACAGAGACAAACAGACAGGTAGATAGATAGGTAGACCAGCGAAATTGTGTGCGACTATTGGTTGTCAAAGTGTAATTGTATAACTAATAAATCACTTCTGGATTACATCACATTAACATGTACCTGATTCTTGTCAACATGTTAATTTGGATCCGTTACTACCCATACAATGCAATTTTGAGTAATGTAAAATTTCAAATTGATCAATGGTTTGGAATCAAGGTTTTCCAACTCTCCTAGGTGGGACCTTCGTGTCCACCAACCCGGTTAAAGCGTTGGATATTCGCTTTTTGTCCTCTCAATTTCGCAGACAACACCCCTACCGCGAGACAGGTAATGAGTGGGACTTCACTGACAGCGGCTGTATGCACGTGGCAATATGAGAGCATTTGGAGAGAGAGATATGACTCTCCACACCCTCAGCCTTACCAGGGCATTTGGGGATTAAATTTAGATATTCACTGTTTCTTGATTTTCAATAATTGTCTAACTAAAATCGTTTAATGTTATGATATACGAAAATATCCCATGAAGATTAACTTGTTTATTGATACTTATCAGTATATTTTATAGTTGAAATCATGAGTCAATTGAAGCTAGATCACCATCGGAAAACCTGGAAGTACTGGACGACAATTTCTTCCTGTAGTGGGACTCCTCAGTACTATGGATCCACGATCCCGTCTCACGAGATTAGAACCCAGGACCTATCAGTCTCGTGCCAGAGCACTTAACCGATAGACAACTGGGCCGGCATCCAACGGTGCTAATGTCTAACTTCAACCAATCCAAGAAGTTTGAGCAACCGTTCACTACAACCGTCCCACAATAGGATGAAACGGCCGTCCAGTGCTTCCAGGTTTTCCATGGTGGTCTAGCCTCAATTGACTCATGATTTCAACTATGATAAAATTAATAATAATAATTATTATAGATTTATGCATTTAGTTTGGCTAGAAAGTTAATTAGTCAGTCATAATCAACATAGAGATTGGTAATAAATGTGAATCAGTACAACTTGTCATACTGTATCATTACAACATCAAGTTAACTACTTGATGTTCAACGGAGTCACTAATATGATAGTGTAATGAACGAAGTCTTCGACATCATGGAGTTCCTGAGAAGATTATCAACATTATCCGGAATTCATATGATGGACTACAGTGCAAAGTGGTGCATGGAGGACAGCTGACAGATGCATTTCCAGTAAGGACCGGAGTCAGACAAGGCTGTCTACTCTCCCCTTTCCTCTTCCTTCTGGTGATTGACTGGATTATGAAGACTTCGACATCTGAGGGGAAATACGGAATACAATGGACTTCTCAGAATCAATTAGATGATTTGGACTTTGCAGATGACCTAGCCCCTCCTTTCTCATACACACGGACAAATGCAGATGAAGACAGCAAATGTAGCAGCAGCCTCCGCATCGATAGGCCTCCACATTCACAAAGGAAAAAGCAAGATTCTCAAACACAACACGGAGAACACCAACTCAATCACACTTGATGGCGAAACTCTGGAAGAGATGGAAACAATCACTTACCTGAGAAGCATCATTCATAAACAAGGAGGATCGGATGCAGATGTAAAGATGAGGATTGGCAAAGCAAGGGCAGCATTTCTACAATTGAAGAACATATGGAACTCAAAACAACTCTCAACTCATTTCAAAGTCAGAATATTCTATACGAACATCAAGACAGTCCTACTGTATGGAGCTGAAACGTGAAGAACTAAAAGTATTTATAAACAATTGTTTACGCAAATTACTCAACATTCACTGGCCCAATACTATCAGCAACAGCGTTTTATGGGAGAGGACAAACCAGCTTCCAGCTGAATAGGAAATTAGGAAAAGACGTTGGAAGTGGATAGGACATACGTTGAGGAAATCACCAATGTGCATCACGACTCAATCCCTAACTTGGAATCCGGAAGGGAAGCGGAAAAGAGGAAGGCTAAAGAACACACTACGCCGGGAAATAGAAGCCGATATGAAAAGGATGAATGTTAACTGGAAAAAACTGGAAAGGATTGCCCAGGACAGGGTTGAATGGAGAATACTGGTGGGTGGCCTATACTCCTCTACGAGGGGTAACAGGCGTAAGTAAGTAAGTAAGTAACATTAAATACACGACATGCAAACCTTTAAGTTATCATTTAGAAACGTTATCATTATTCAATTCCTGTTGTTATTTCGATTGCTATCTGTTTACCCCTTTCTATTCTCTCTTCACTTTCGTTGCTATGTAGATTGTACATCATACACAAATTGACTCCATCATTCAGTCATAACACAAAACAATTAATCCTGACAAAAGCCTTAACATAGATAATGTGTAAACTCTTAAAAACTTATTTGAGCCCTTACAAGTAATTGACTACAATTTCTTATATTATCATCCCAACATATTTTAAAATGTTTTAACAAAATATATTGAAATACATTGAAATCATGAACCGATAACGATTGAAAACTCGAAAGTAATGGACAGATGTTTCATTACAGTATGAGACTCCTTACAAGTTCATATGAACAACTTCAGGAACAGGAATCGAACCTAGGATCCATGGTCTCCTGTGCAAACGCTTTAACATCTAGATCACTGAACTAATATTAATGTTTAACTGAACCGTGATACACCATTATTAATATTTATTTTCAATCGTACCACAATGTTGAGCAACAATCTTTAGTGGATAATTGCCTTACACTCGATGCAGTTGAACTTTCACAAGAACTCCTAGAATCTATTCAATAGTGAGCACATGATAATTGTCAGTATAGGATTGTAGAGATCAGTATGAAATTAGCAGAAATTGTAGTAGTATTAGTGAAAACAAAAAAATGAATAAGAATGAACTGTCTTACTGTACAGCCTTTCTAACAGTTAGTAACGAAACTCCCATGGACTCTAACGAGGTAGTCTGCACCAACCCAAACGGTTAAGACGAACAGTCAATGATTTCATAAACTCGTATTACGTTTTAGGTTGTCTGCATCTAGCTTTATTCTAACTTACTCTTACGTCATTCAATTTTACGCATCGAGGTAAACAGTGGTTAGTTATATACAATACACATTCCGATCATATCAGTCGATGAAAATCCATATTTTTATTCACTTCAACATTGCTCACTTGATATTCCAGTCGTATACGAGTAATTCTTCAGATATACTTATAATTGACTACTAGTAACTTGAGAATATCATTTGTTCTCAATGATTAAGTTCAAATTATACAATGAAACAGAATGAATTAGGGGTCATGTCAGTTGGTTAGATGGATATCTCGTCTACAATACATATATGACACAAACTGCAAAGAATCAGTAAACAGAAAACTTTAAATGATATTTTATAATGGACATATAACTCACGATTATTCGATTGTATATTATACATTGAATAATTATCATTGGAAACATTCAATAATTTTTTTTCGACATTTTGACCTATTTGATGATTTCCTTCTGGCATTTGAAATGAAGTTAACTTCACTTTATTATTTCTGTCAGTATCAATATTATCATCATCAGATTTTTCATTCTTCTTAGATAAAAATGATGAAGGTGTAGAGGAATTTGAGGAGGAGGACGAGGAGAAGGAGGAGGAAGAGGAGGAGAAAGATTCACTTTTCTTTTGTACGAATCGATTATTTCTTATGTTTCTTCTTCTTTTTTCTCCAGATCTTCTTGTTTGGTTATTTTGTATTTTTACCTTCGCACACTTTCTTGCCCTATTTGTCTTGTTATTATTGTAATAATCATAATGATGGTTCACGGAATCAGTCTGTGCTGATGAATTTGTTAAAGATTTGTTATTTCCATTGTTTAATACTACATGTGATTGTAATGAAGTTGGTGTTGAGATTGATGTATTCAATTCTCCTGGATAATTCCTCATATACTTATCCTGGAACTAAAAGGAGGTTCGTAGAATAAAATCGAAAAATCAGTATACATATATATACTATAGAATGTGTACTAAGTGGTTGGAAGTAGTCAATAGAGAACACTGAATATAGATTTTATTCTATTTGGTTTCTTATTAACGAAGATGTACTCTGCATAACTAAGGGAACTAATGCTTTCTAAAGGATTCAAATGCAGTTTATCCAGTTTTATAATTTGACACATTACCACTAAACTGATCGGGTCATGACTGACTTCCTACGAGACTGAGATATTTCGGATTACTGAATAGTGACTAATATTCTGTTTGTCTAATCCTTTGTAGATGCTAAATGAATTCTTTTGATCGACTTACAATGTAGTTGCTAGTGTGAACAACTTGACGGTTTCATTAGGGTAGATACATTCACTCTTTGTCTTCTCACATATTGTGAGTTCCAAAATGGTTTTATACATTTATTTGTTCAGAATGGGTTTTGCGGAGATTTTAGTTTTTTCATAGTTGAAATCATGAGTCAATTGAAGCTAGACCATCAAGGAAAACCTGGAAGAACTGGACGACCGTTTCGTCCTATTGTGGGCCTCCTCAGCAGTCCTGGATTCGAATCTCACGAGACGCGATCGTAGATGCGCCCTGCTGACCAGTGATCAGTGGAGTTCAATCAAGTCTGTTGTAGAGATATCAACTCACTGAAGACAATTGATGAACGGTTGCTCAAACATCGTGGATTTATTTATTCCACACATTTCATTCTTTCTTCTTGGATCATATAATCTCTGTGTAATCCTTTATACTACAACTAGTACTATTAGTATTTCTACTACCGTAATATTTCATCTCTTTATGTTGATGTGTCGTAACATCTTGCGCCTGTGAACAGACGTGTTCTATTCTACGTTGCATATTACTGACTGAGTGACTTTATGGTATATTATTCAGTGATATACTCTTATTTGTAATATCATAATAATAACATCTCAGTTATGCTATCATGCCTCTGCCTGAAAATCGATCAGAAGTAAATACGAAGATTTACTGAGTGACACAGAATAAACGGTATAACTTTGCGATAGGTTGGATCAGTCGGAGATATTAGTTGAGGGTCAAATAATAAGTGAAAGATGTTGTCAAGTGTACACTATTGGCCAAGATTTAGCTTAATCATCCGTAAGAGACAGATAATACTGTTAAAGTCATTATCAATAATGTTTCCCTTTTTTCTCGAATTTATTAATTACAGATCAAAGTATGAATTCACTTAGTATTGTTTGTTTGAATCTTCCCATTGATGTTTAGGACTGCAACTGGTCAGTCTCTTATTGGCCATATGTGCATACTGTGCGTATTGCCTCGATATAGCCTTAATTCACAAGCATGGTAAGCAGAGATGGATAATGGCTAGCAGTGGAATTCAGTGTGACGCGCATTTCGTCCTATTTTGCACTCATTCCAGAGAGAACATCAACTCTGAGATGCAGGTATATTCAGCTAACGAGTCCCAAACAGGACGAAACGCGCTTCCTGAATTCCAGTGCTAGCCACTATCCATCTTTGCTTACAAACCATAGTAGTTCGAAATTCCCTCATTATGCAATTCATCTGATGTTTAGCTAATAAAAACCAATCCAAATTCTGGATTTCTGCTCAATTTCAATTGTGTATGGCTATTGACATAAAATCTTCAAACATACTTATGTTCTTCGTTGACAACTTGTAAGTCTGTCACAATACATAACCGTGTGTTTTAAGAGAAACAGAGTGATGTATTCATTCTCATAGCTTAACTGGACATGTTCTGGACTGAACAACTGAAGATATATAATGCAACTAATGTTAAGCGCTGGATGATCTGAGATTAGTTACAATAACCTTGAGACTAATGCTTAGTGGAAATATTACTCATTGATTTATGTAATCATTTAAGGTTCAGTTAGAGGATGACAAGTACGAATCTCGATTTAGCTGAACACAAATGAACTTACACTCCGAATCTATCATAAGTAAACAAAAGTGTTGTGAATTACTGAGTTGGCTAATTACTTCCCCACTTTTCGTCCTGACTGACAAATAACTTTGAATTGGACCAAGAGCACGAGTGATAGCGAATTCTTAAATCTTATTGGTTCACGAGGATCTACTGAACCTAATAGCCAATCAGAATGCGAAAAAAGATAGTAGAGGTACCTAATATAAATGAAGATAGTGATATTACTCCGGATATCCAAGGTAGGACTAATTTACTTGTGTTAGGATTTTCTTCGCATTCGAAAAGAAAGAGGATTTAGGTACATAATTTCATATGGTTCGTCTCGGAATGTTTAACACTGAAAAAGTGACTTCTAAATTCAAATTCATTTATTTATTTAAACACATAAATATTGATACAAAAGGTAACCAGATATACATGCGCCACACAAATCTCATTTGATTTATGTGTGAGCTATGATACTCCCCGGGTGCCTAAACCGAAACAGGTGGTTTTCTTAAGGAGCCACACCCGGAGCCTTCGACCTAAAGGTCTGACCCACAAGGAAGTGGAGCAATCCTATGGTAGCCGGTGACCAACGATTCATTCATACGCCATTTGTTTCCTCAGGATACTGGAACCCATGTGCACCATTAGTTTGGGATCAGGGTTTTCAAATTCCCCTAGGTGGACCCTCCGTGTCCACCAACCCGGTTAAAGCGCCAAACATTCGCTTTTCGTCCTCTCAATTCCGTAAACAAACGCAGTGCCACGAGAAGGCAGTGAGTAGGACTTCCGTGGCAGAGGCTATATACGCGTGTTCATGTGAGAGCATTTCGAGAGAGAAGGCGGCTCCTCCCCACTCTCGGCCGTACGAGCGAACTTGAAGGCTCTAAATGTAAATTAGATTGAGCAAGTCAGAATAATCATTTTAACTGAACAATATATAATATTAATAACAGAAGTAGCTCACGTAACCTGAGTACGAGCATGTTTTCCTAACAGCATATCACACATTCAAAATGTGAAGATTAGTACAGACTGTTCTATTTTTTATCTAGTGGTTCATAAAAATTATCTAAGGCTTGACTACAAATTATGTCACTACAGTCATTGAGGAGCATGTGATTGAGTGATACAGATCTATTGATATCTTACTTTGTAATCTATTGTAAATTAAACTGTTTGTTCAATTTGTTTTTGGAATCTGAGAGAAAAAAAAGTCGAAAAAATTGTCAAGTGAAACGTGCCTCAGTTTAGTTTGCATAACATAAAGTTAACCATCCTTTCTCAATGTTCAATAAAAGTCTAATATCCAGCATTTTCAATCATCTTTCCATTCGTTTAGTAAGGGTTGTGTAGAAACACATAAATATTACTGGGGATTTCATTTTATGGTTGAAAGCATGAGCCAATTGAAGCTAGACCACCAAGAAAAACCTGGAAGCACTGGACGGCCGTTCTGTTCTATCGTGGAACTCATCAGCAGTGCGCATCCGCGATCCCGCCTCGCGAGATTTAAACTCAGGACCCACTAGTCTCGCGCCAGAGCACTTTCTAAATAATCATCTGTATATTCAACCAATGAAGTGGCATTATTCTAGTGAGGAAAGTAACTAAACTCAAAGGTATCTTCATGTAATGGGACTGACGATCTGTCATGGAGAACTGTGATGAGGATTAAATTTTTTAAAATATTCTACCAAAATCTAGAACAATACAGAGGCTGAGAATAGAATGGAAATAATTGGAACTACATTGATATTTTTATCTTTCTTCCCTGACAAAAACTGTATACACGTGATCGTGTGAGAGCATTTGGAGAGGGAGAGCGAACTCTCCTCACTCTCGGCTGTACCAGGGCATAGAGTATAGCGTACCAGTTAAGTATCCAGTCTAGCTGTAGCGAAATTTCAGTCCACAATCCTATTATCGTATTATAATGGTAAACTATGAGTAGATATACTTAAGTTCATGTAAGTTATATCTTCTTTCTACAGGATTTAAATCTTTTGGGATTGATCAGGAAAAAAAAGTTTATTATAGTATCCATCGTACAGTGAAGACGATATGTTATACAAATAAGATAACACAAAATGCATCTACTGCCACTGACATTAAATCTATATGAAGTATGTTATTATTGATGGATTGAGTAATAAACACTTTTGTTTCTACACAAATAAGTTAGAAAAGTCAGGGGTCTAAATTTTTACATGGTTCTTAGGTCATGATGATAATAAAAAGTCAACGTAAAAAACTATGGAAAATTCATAAAATGATAATTTTAATAACCATTCCAGATTCTATGTTCATTTGTTGTTGTTTACTTGTATCTTCTCATTGTTATTTTGGACTACAATTGGTTAGTCTGTTGTTGGCATATGTGCATCCTATGCGAACTGCCTCGATATTACCTGAAGTCACAAGCTTTTTAAGTTAAGATGGATAATGACTAACAGAGGAATCCAGTGTGACGCGCGTTTCGTCCTATTTAGGACTCGTCAGCTGGATGTACTTGTATCTCAGAGTTGATGTTCAATCTGGAATTCGAACCCAGTACCGTTTGCTTTAGATGCAATCACGTTATCCACTTAGCTACTGAGTCCTGATAGCCCACCAAGATTTGTCCATAATAATTTGATACAACTGGGGTTTCATGTGTAGAATCATAAGAATTTGCATGAATAAGGACGAGAACGCACTTTATAAGTGATCCAGTTTGTTTGATTTAAATTAGCTAACGCATATAAAGAACAAAACCTAACAGTAATACAACAGAGTGTAACAGTATTACATACCGTTCAGATATGCATTAGTTTTATAGTATGAATAAAGACATTTAAAAGATACAAAAGAAAAAATACAATGTAATGATGAACCAATTATATTCAGGATACAAGATGTTTGAGTTTTGGACAAAATTCAAAACGCCATAACGAATAGCTAGTATTTTAATTAAAGCAAGGTAAATACTATCAGTAGTTAATATAGAATAGATGAAATATAGTGGGACTCAAGACGTACGTTTCATCTTATTTTGGTCTCATCATCCGGATGTATCTATCACGCCCCAGAGTTGATGATTACTCCAGGGTTCAAAGCCATTGCCATTGGCGTCAAATAGCATCGCATTATCCACTTAGTTACTGAGTCCAGATAATCACTCACATGTGCATCAATATTTAGTCAATCAAATACTTAAAATCACTGACTGGAAACCATAATTTATAAATGTCTAGAGATAATTCAAAGGTCTTTGATGTCTAAAAACAAAGAACTAACCCTAACCGAAGCTCCTCACTTTATATCTAAACCCATATCCTCAGATTTTTGAATGTTTAGTAAAAAAATACCCATTCCACTCATGCTGAGAATTCTATATTGTACTAGATTATAATATTAAATAAAGCCATTAATAATAATTAATAAATAATAATAATAATTTCCACTTTAAATGACTTTTTCAAGGTCACTCAAGAGTTACTTACAGTCATCAGTATACTATACTTTATTTGACTAACATCATTATTCTGTCGTTTCAATAATTAAAGTCTATTAGGAGCCATGTCGTTCAAAAGTTTCTAGTAATTGGTTACGATAATTACGCGGACCCCAGCCAAGTATTTTACATCTACCTATCTGGGTCAGTCTAATTATCAATGACTTCATGAACTGATGCCATATTTAAATAGGAATAATATATTTGTAAAATCTCATTCGCTGAGATTTTACAAATATATTATTCCTATTTAATGTCTTACTTCAACTCGGCGCTCAAATACTGTGAAACTATTCGTTCTAATTTAGACGAGAGTTCTTATATGATGCCATATTTCATTTTGTATTTCTTCCATCCTAATCCTACATCATAGAACATCACCCATCGAGGTAAGCAATGGTTGGGGATACGTAACACATGTCCTAACCACTTCGGTTGGTGAAGATTTTCTATATCATCAGTCGATTTGCCATCTTAACCCAGTACCTTATTCCTAACTCATGCATCGCCTAAACAGTGAAATGCTTCGAAGACACCTGTGATCGAACACTGGTAACCCACAAATATCCCCTATTCTTAATGGCCATGTTTCACATGCGTGAAGTGGGACGTAAGAAATCGCTTCATAGTTAAATGTGAAACTTGTAATTAATTATCAGTCGCTATTTGTATACGTACATCTCGAGCGGACTGCCTCTATATTACCATTTAGTTTCAAATTTTAGTATGTTCGAGCTATGATTAATAGTACCCCAAATGTCCTGATACGGCCGAGAGTAGAGAGAGTCCACTCTCTCTCAAAATGCTCTCTCATGGACACGCGCATACAGCCTCTGTCAGGGGAGTCCTACTAACTGCCTTCTCACAGCATTATTGTTGTTTACGAAATTCAGAGGACGAAAAGCAAATGTCCGGCAGGAACTTTAATCGGGTTGGTGGACACGGAAAGTTCATCTACGGGAGTTGGAAAACACTTATTCCAAACCAATGGTGAACATGGGCTGACTCCAGTATCCTGAGGGAACAAATGGCGTACGAATCAACCGTTGATCACCGGCTACCATGGGACTGCATCTCCTCACGATGCTCCACTGCCTTGTGGGTTGAACCTTTAGCTCGGGGTGTGGCCCCCTGAACAAACCACCTGTTTCAGTTTGGGCACCAGGGCAGTATCACAGCCCTCACGCAAATCGAATAAGATTTGTGCGGCGTATATGTATCTGGTGCTTTTTTTACGAATATTTATGTGTTTAAATAATAAAAAAAGTAATGATTATTAGTGGAATTTATGGATACTCGTTACGTCCTATTTAGAATTCGCCAACTCGGAATACTAACATCTTAGTGTTGATTTTCACACCAGGACTTGAACCTCAATAATTTTATCTTTAAACACTCAACTCTACTGAGTTCAATCAGAATTCATAGTGAGACATTTAAAGAAAACTCGACTAATTCATCCGTTGATGTCAGTATGCTATTTTGTTACATTTTATTATTACACTAACCTGGACAACAGGCGAATAAAGCGTCATGTAATGTAAAATTGATGTGTAGTGTTGGTTATTATGTTAAGCTCACACAACTTATTCTAGCTTATGGATAAGCTAATCTATTCATTCTTCTCAAGCTACATTTTTACCTTGTCACTTACTTGCTTATCAACCTCGATTGTTTTTATGTAAGTCTCTATGTGTGTAAAATTCTTATCCTACGCATCAGATGTCTGTAGCTTATTTTTGTATGACTATAAATATTGATTGATGTTTGATTAAATCGATTTGGCCACACATCATTCGCCAATGCGTGCCGTCTCGTTTCGCTCTCTCCCTTCTTCGTTTCGTCCCTTTGACTATCTGTCCAGAAGCTAGAATAATTTATATGGGATTAACATAGCAACCAATACCATAGATGTTAATCCTTACATTAGTTTGATCATTTGTAAGTATATAGACCCATATAAATATATGAGATACAGTATATTTAAAACTATCAGAATTATTTTGTTGTCTAATCCTAAAAGAGAATAGAATAGTATCAATGAGGGCTTAGTTACTGGTAATTCTGTGCTGTCCAAACTAACTCCAAGTACTTCCATATTTGAAATTGAAGCTAGATCACCATGAAAAACCTGGAAGTACGGTTGTTTCGTCCTATCGAGGGACTCCTCAGTGGCAGTGCGCATCCACGACCTCGCTTCGTGAGATTCGAACCCAGGACCTACCAGTTTCGAGGAGTCCCACAATCACACGAAACGGTTGTCCAGTGCTTCCAGGTTTTCCCTAGTGGTCTAGCTTCAATTGACTAATGATTTCAACTATGAAAATACTGAAATCCCCACAAAAACCCCTTCTGATAATAACTCCAAGTATGTTGAAATTCCATCATTGAATTTAGTTTATTAGGTGTCTGTATATCATATGAGAATCATAAATATCATGTTTTCCTTTTTTAATGATTTGTACCCTCAGTATGTAAGTCAACAACATTTACATGTTTCTAATTGAAAACAAACTTGATGGACACACTGTGTTTGCATAGACTTTGTTAATTTCTTTTGATTTCTATCATTCACTGAGAATACTGTTGACAAAATAAAATTGACTAATGAGTAGTATATTTCATGATGTTACATATTGTGAGTTTTTAAAAATTTATTTAAACACATAAATATTATTCGATTTGTGTGAGGGATGTGATACTGTCCTGGGTGTCCAAACTGAAGCAGGTGGTTTTCCTAAAGGGCCACACACGGAGACCTAAAAATCTGATCCACAAGGCAGTGGAACATCATGAGGAGATGCAGTCTCATGGTAGCCGGTGACCAACGATTGATTCATACGCCATTTGTTCCCTCAGGATACTGTAGCCAGATCATGTACACCATTGGTTTGTAATCAGGGTTTTCCAACTCACCTAGGTGGACTCGCCGTGTCCACCAACTCAGTTAAAGTGCCGGCCATTCGCTTTTCGTCCTCTCAATTTTGTAAACAATAGTAATGTCACGAGAAGGTAGTGAGTAGGACTTTCCTGGCAGAGGCTATATACGCGTAGTCATGTGAGATCATTTTGAGAGGGAGAGCGAACTCCCCCCAATCTCAGTCATACCAGGGCATTTGGGGGCTAATAATAATCAATATAACCCAGTAATGTATTGATACATGTTAGTTTAAAAGGTTTAATTTATTGATGTTGTAAATTGTAAACGTACATTAAGTTACCAGGTTAATTTATATCAAGTACTGACTGTCCAGTTTAAAGCATTCGAATTGAACCATTGGTCAGACAAGTAAATTACACATAACATAGTATAAGCAAAGATGGGTAGTGGTTAGCTGTAGAATCCTGGACGCGCATTTCGTCCTATTTAGGACTCGTTAGCTGGATGTACCTTCATCTCAGACTATTTGACGTTCACTCTGGGACTCGAACTCAGTACCTTTCTCTTCAAACGCCATCACATTATCAAATTAGCTAGTGAGACCTGATAGCCACTTGCTTGTGCAATGTGGTGAAGTTTAAATTCAATTAGTTTCAATGAATGATTAATATGAATTGAATACTTACCTCATTCATTATAGTCTGTGTAGATTTTTCAACTGAACAATGAATTGACTGAATCGTCATATTGATTGGTTCAGTCATTATTGAAGTATTTTTCTTTATTGTTTGATTAGATCTTGTATCTATGCATTGAATATTTACAATGGAATTATCATTAGCATTAATAAATTCCCATACTGGGACAAAATTGGAACAGTTTTTTTGTTTGAAAGTTGTAACTATTTGATTTCTTGTCTAATAATAAGTAAAGAAGAAAAAAGAAAAAGTAGTTGATGATCAATATCAGAAAGGGTTTTGTGGAGATTTAATATTTTCATAGTTGAAAGCGTCAGTCAATTAAAGCTAGACCACTAATGAAAACCTGGAAGCACTGAACATCACCATCGGATGCCGGCTCAGTGATCTATCGGCTAAGTGCTCTGGCGCGAGACTGGTATGTCTCGGGTTCGAATCTCGCGAGGCGAGGTCATGGATGCGCACCGCTGAGTTGATGATTATACAATTTGAATCAAACATTAACTACTTTAATACCAAGTAAGTAGTATATGAAATATTTCACAAAGAAATACAAGCATTTCATAGAAGAAAATAATTTTATCATATGTAAGCAAAGATAGATAGTGGCTAGCAGTGGAATCCAGCTATTATCCATCTTTGATTACAATGCTTGTGAAATAAGGCTATATCGAGGCAATACGCACAGTATGCACATATGCCAATTAGAGACTGACCAGTTGCAGTCCTAACAAATCGATGGGAAGATTCAAACAAACAATACTAAGTAAATTTAATCTTATCATATGTTCTAACCAGTTTTCCTTTTTTTTCTTCCTAATTAGTTCAAAGAAAAGATAGTATATCATAATAGACTGGCAATAATTAGAAAATATAATTAAGATACGTGTATTGTGAATAATATTTGAATCTGAAAGTTGCGTTCGTCCTGTTTGAGGTTCATTTACTGGTGCTGATGATGTCGTTCAGAAGGACGATGAAAGCTCCACGACCAAACCATCCAGCTCAGAGAACAAACCTTCATCAAAAACAACTGGTATCATCCACATCCTAGTGTTGATATTAACATTAGGATATGAAATCAGCAATATTCGCTTTAGACACGCAATAGATTACCTACTAGCTATTCAGTCCTCTAGACGAAAACTTAATTATTTAGCGGTTATGTTTTTGTATTATTATTAGTAAGAGTTTTAGTTATCCGTTTGTTGATATTCAGGACTGCATTTTGATTAGTAGTTGATATAGGATATCCATGACCTGTCATCAAATCTAGGAGTTTAAATTCTAGTAACATGCGTTATACTTTCAGACTGTTGAGTTGAAATCTAATATTGTTTATTTCCAGATTCAATTCATATTCATTCAATGAAATCACAGACAGCCATTTCACTACCGAAATCAAGCTGTTAGATTCAGATGTAGATTATTTTCAGTCTAAGCGAATCGACATGACTCAATATTCCAATTCAAATGTGAAGCGGTTAACAGTGAGATATATTTCACCAATCCTAAAGATGATTCATGATTGGTAGGGTTCAACCGTCTTCAGAGTGAGACAATCAGACACTCATCAGTGATAACACATTGTGGACGTGCAATACCGGAGTTGACTGAAGTAAGATATATAAACCATTAAAGACTTAAAGGTTAGACTCTTACATTGAAACCTGGAGGTCTTGGGTTTGAACCTTGGTGAGATCATAGATTCACATGGTTAGGTAGTTGCATATTACGCTCTATGTTAACTATGATTGATCGATTCCAAACATTTCCGTAATAAGTGTTGAAAAGCACGAATTTTAAGTGTAAAGCTTTCAACTGGTTGCATCCATTCCATGTGGATTTACGGTAAATTTGAAAGCAATTCTTACCAAGCGAAATTCATTGTCAAGTGATTAATAAACACAGATTGTTTAATGACTAAGTGAATTTTATTGTCAAGGCACATCTTAGCAGTATAGTCCACTTCCTGATAAACGGGGAAACACAAGGTCAATGAGTAGTGAACAACATTATTTTTATCTAGTTTTTTAGTAGTGAACCAATTCTATAGATTAAATTACAATACCCACACTGCTCTGAGTGATCTGAGATAAGGTGCATAGTTGGAGGCAGCTGACACTAGCTCTGCTTAATTTAGGTATGATGCTAGTTAAAATTCATCAACAGAATGTATCTGGAATCTTGAGGGAACTCTTAATTTCAGTGGGATATGAACTCTCAAACAACTTTAAAGAACAATACAACACTAGACAAATATAGCATTAGTTACTACTGATTGACCGATCAATTTTGCAAATATATCACTCCTATAAAAAGTCAATCAAGACCCAAATAGCTCAATGATAACATCTCAAACTGTGGAATAAGATACCATGTGTTCGAACCACACAAGTTCTCTCAAGACCATACATATACCTTGCTGACGAGTGTTAAATAGTATGAGACCTAAATAAAAAACATGGTTTCCTGTCGACTACCTTCAAAAAAATAGCAAGAAAGATAAAGGTATACCCCCCACCACTATATATATATATAACATCGGCTCAAGTTGTCATACCACATCAGATATAACAAGATGAAATTCTCAAGACAAAATATCAAAAGCCATAAAAGTAGTAACATTATCGAATCTCGCGAGGTAGGATCGTGGATGCGCACTGTTGAAGAGTCCTACAATAGGACGAAACGGCCATCCAGTGCTTCCAGGTTTTCCATGATGGTCTAGCTTCAATCAACTCATGATTTCAACTATTGAAATTATCATTATTATTAAATGATCATATACATCAATAGTACATTGACAAATATCAATCAAATTATTTACCTGGTTTGTTGATTTTACAATAGAATCATTATTGCTGTTTGTATGATTATGATTGTTTATGGATTTGATATTGTGCTGATTATTTTCCGAGATATTCATATTTTGTAACATATCACAATTAGTTGTCATGTCATTATAATTCATGTGTTGATTGCATTGAGGATTGTGATCAACAATGTGAGAAGACGATTGTTTTGAAAAGTTATTGACATTGTTATTTGATTGATTCAATTGGGCCACTTGTTCAACTGATAACAATGAAATGAAGAAGTAAACATAAGAAGATAGTTGTATTCTTTTTAATTGTCTAATATTGAACACAATAAAGAAGTAATTGCCCCCAAATGCTCTGGTACAGCCGAGAGTGGGGAGAGTCAGCTCTCCCTCTCGAAATGCTCTCGCATGGACACGCGTATACAGCCTCTGCCAGGAAAGTCCTACTCACTACCTTCTCGTGACATTACTATTGTTTACGAAATCGAGAGGATGAAAAGCCAATGTTCGGCACTTTAACGGAGTTGGTGGACACGAAAAGTTCACCTAGGTGAGTTGGAAAACCCTGATTCCAAACCAATGGTGCACATAATCTGGCTACAGTATCCTGAGGGAACAAATGGCGTATGAATCAATTGTTGGTAACCGGCTATCATGGGACTGCATCTCCTCACGATGCTCCACTGCCCTGTGGATCAGATCTTTAGGTGGAAGGCTCCGGGTGTGGCCCCCTAAGAAAACCACTTGCTTCAGTTTGGGTACCTGGTTAGTATCACAGCCCTCATACAAAACAAATGAGATTTATGTGGCGCATATGTATCTGGTGCTTCCTTGTACCAATATTTACTTTCGGTGTCCACTGGACGGTTAAAGTACCGGACATTCTCTTTTCGTCCTTTCAATTTCGTAAACAACATTAATGCCACGAGAAGGCAGTGAGTAGGACTTCGCTGTCAGAGGCTGTAAACGCATAGGCATATGAAAGCATTTCGAGAGGCAGATCGTACCCTCCTCACTCTCGGCCGTACCAAGGCATATGAGGGCTCAGATATGAAATCAAAACCGTACAATGCATATTGGTAATTTCTGACTGTTCACAAAATAGAATTATTGATACTATATAGCATCAATGTAGGCTCACCTCTCTCTCAAATTGACTAACCCAATTTGTAGAAGATATACTAAATTTTAAGGTAATTTATATCATGAGCTGTTTCTATCCAAGTTCTTACTTTTATCCTATTTCAAGCTGTGAATATGAACTCCTGATGAGTCCTAGAGCAGGACATCATCGACTACCTATTGATTTATTCTACAAAATATCTATGAAACCAATAAAACTCTACTTAATAATCACTTCGTTCAATGACATTAGGTCCAAGTAGAAAGAAGCATTACCTTCTTTACAATTTGTTATCATATATTCAATATAACACTTTAATCCCCCCTTGATATTAAAAATAATAAAAAAGAAATTCAGATAAACATCTTTTTATCAAAAAAGAAAAAGAAAAAAAGTGGTAATAATCTTCCATGTGACTTCCATGGGATTTTCTAAATTACTGGCGTCAATTCATACCACAAATTTCTAGAGATTTCGGTATGATATTTAGTAACTATGATAAATTTCTTCACTTCAAAGAACAAATCATATACATATAGACTTTAATCAAAAGGATAGCAAAATATAACTTATACTACATGTAACATGTAATACTTATATGATTCTATAAGTAGTGAGTTCATTTTCAAGGGGTTGTGTTTTAATATTCATGAACGTGTGTGTGTGTGTATGTCATATTGTTGTGAACAAGAACACTAGTTAGGGACAATCAAATATATTTAAGCACAAATTACAGACTATCACACTAAATTTTATGGCTGTGAAACATGGCTATTAAGAGTAGAAGATACTCGTAAGTTACTAGTATTTGACCACAGATACCTTAGAAATATTGTTCGCATCTGCTGAGATAACCAGGTAAATAATAGTGAGGTTAGACACAGGGTATTAGGAAATGATGGTAAATCAGTTGATGAGGTCATGAATCTTCATCGACTGAGATGGTTGGCTCACGTGTTACGTATGCCTGAACACTGATTACCACGACGCGCTATGCTGAATAGTGTAGGGGATGGTTGGAAAAGAGTCAGGGGCGGTCAAACCAAAACGTGGCATCAGTACTTGAAGTCACTAACTTCTAGTCTGAGCCATGTTGACAGATGCAGACTACCTGGTTGGGGTCCGTGTGACTATCGTAACCAATGGTTGGAGACTCTAGGTGACATGGCTCAGAATCGATCACAATGGCGTAGGTGTATACACTCTTTATCTTCCTTTAAACCTTGAGACTAAAATTGCTTCATATCTCTCCTCCTTCCTGTACTATATCCTTATATACAACCTATAATTTATATACTACTACCACCACTACATTAATTACTTCTATGAATCCGGTGTTCATCTTGTTGTGCTAACGAGGTATGGCAACTTGGACCGATGCATGAATGTGCCTGGTCCTACATTGTAGCTGACGGACTGACTGATCTCACTAAATTCTGATAACCATACAATGAACAGTTAATTTGCAAAATAACAATCAATTGTCTCAATCTTAACAGTTTCTTCAGCAAATATCAGTCCGTCTTCTCTGAATTCATTGTTCATGCATTTTCTTATCGACTGCACTTCATTCTTGTTCGTTCCTTATTGATTTTCTGCTAAAATACATTCTATGTCTGACCCTCACTATATACTACTTATATGGATATAAGTAGATCAGGCTACAATATTACCGCCAATCTCAACAAATATTATTAATCGAATCATCATCAGTTATTTGTAATATAATGTTCAATATGATTTAATCAAGACAAGATGTCAATTTAAGAAATTACTGATTCATGTTTTGAAATGCCCGGGAAATTGAAATCGTTTAGTTTAACATTCAAAATATCTTTGAAATATCAGGGGATAAAGTATGCGAATGTCGAGGAGATATTTAATTCATCTTAGCGTTATTTGGACTCAGTAGACTATTTGATGCCCATTCCCATTTCTTGAAGGTACGACGTTTTGTATCCATGCAGATGTGAATTAGATTGAATTAATAGGAAGTCCAAAATACTAGGAAGGGTCTAAGATTATATGTATAGGTAACAATCAGTTTAGTATTCAATTAGGATATTAGTCTATCAATCACAGAATTTCGTAAGGTTTACAAATCAACACAAGTCTCTTAGGTTGATTTCGGAGAATCAAGCAATATGAGTTAAAATTTCTGAGGAAGAAATAATTCAGCCAATGAAAATCATAGTTGTATGAGCAGAGATGGATGGTGGCTAACAGTGGAATCAAGGACACACGTTTCTTCCTATCCGCGACTAACAGCTGGATGTACTTCCATTCCGGAGTTGATGCTCATAGTCCTTTACATATGGCATTCGATTAAATTAAAGAATACTACTGAATCAACAAAGGTTGAAACTTATGTTTCAAAAGCTTGAACAAGCTGACTTTTATCCTATATCCTGTATGAACAGACTGGTTACTTTTCAACAATTGATAAAGCAATTTTAAAGCAGATATCATGACTGAATATCTGAAAAATGTTAATTTACTTCGAAGAGCAACTTTTCCGCCCTATACAAAAGTTTGAGAGGAAACATTATTTCCAGACACACCAAAAATGACCTTTTGTCTAGATTATTCTTTGGTTTCAAAACAGAGGAACTCTTTGATAATATTATATAGTTAAGATCATGAGTCAATTGAAGATAGACCACTATGGGAAACCTGGAATCACTGAACGGCCGTTTCGTCCTATTGTGGGACTTACTCAGCAGTGCTCATCCACGATCCCGCCTCGTGAGATTCAAACCCAGGACCTAGCGGTCTCTCACCGGAACATTAACCGATAGACCACTGAGCTGACCGGCATCCAGCGGTGTTAATGTCCAACCTAAACCAATCCACGAAATTGCGTGACCAACTTCCATTGTACTGAGGTAGATACCTGTCTCTACCTGACATGGATTAACTCCACTGGCCCCGAATTCTCACTTGAACTCCAGGGATTACCTCATAGAGCCAGTCACTCGTGAGCATATGATCTTTGAGAACATGGTCAAATTCATTAGTCACATAAAAAAACTATACATTTACAAATCTTCCGTCAATTGTCCTTCACATTTGTATGATTCTTTCAATTCACAATCCCTTTCTGTTTTCCCCTTCCGATTTCTTCAACTCGAAATTCTTAACCTTCTGTTGCCATGCATTCCACCTTTGATTGGTATTACATACTACTTATATAGACAGATATAAGTACTGCAGTACTATAACACCGATAATATGATATTACGTAAGAATGATAAAATTTTTGAAATATTCAATCAAACCTCTTACCATCATTCATTATATTCGGTTTAATTTCAATTATTGTTTCCATGGATTGATTATTTTCACAGTTAGGCATAGATTGTTGTTCTTTTTTGAAATTACACCGTAATTGACTTAATTCATTTTCTAAATGTTCCAGTTTTGTTTTATAGAATGTCTTGTTTAAATGTAAAATATCCATTAAAAATATTTTAAAAAACACAAACAAACAAACATGTTAATCATATAGTATTGTTTGTTTGAATCTTCCCATTGATGTTTAGGACTGCAACTGGTCAATCTCTAAGGTACTGGGTTGGAGTCCCAGAGTGAACATCAACATATCTGAGATGCAGGTACATCCAGCTGACGAGTTCCAAATAGGACGAAGTGGCGCACGTCCTGGATTCCACTATCCATCTTTGCTAAACATGTTAGTCAGCTCTGATTAATATATTACCTAGTACAGGTGTATGTTAGCTTAATTTGACATATTACTTATTATATATAGTTGAAATCATGAGTCAATTGAAGCTAGAGCACCACAGAAAACCTAGAAGCACTGGATGGCCGTTTTGTCATATTGTGGGACTACTGAGCAGTGCGCATCCACGATCCCGCCTCGCGAGATTCGAACGCAAGACCTACCAGTCTCGCGCCGGAGCACATAACCGATAGACCACTGAACAGGCATTCAACGGTGTTAATGTCTAACTACAACTAATCCAAAAAGTTGGGAAACCATTTCACCAATGTCTCCAGTGAGTTGATATTTCCAAACAGACCTGGTTGAACTCCACTGGTTACTGCTTCTCACTAGAACTCCAGGAAATACCTCATAGAGCCAACCACTAGTGAGCATATGATAAGGGGGTTTTCTGTTTAGTTTTTAAGTAATTTTTACATATAGTTGAAATCATGAGTCAAATGATGCGAATTGCTGAGGAGTCCCACAGTAAGACGAAACGGCCGTCCAGTGCTTCCAGGTTTTCTATGGTGGTATAGCTTCAATTGACTAATGATTTCAACTAAATATAAAAATTACTTAAAGTCTCCACAGAAAAACCCCATATTATTTATTAATAAGAGCGGAAATGAAATGAACAAAATGGATAGTAAATGAATCGAAATGATGTAGCAGCAATAATTACAAAAGCGTTTTTTTAGTGAGTTAGTTCTCTACTGGATAGAACTAGAAACGAAGGCCTAGGACAGAGTGGATTGGAGAATGTTGGTCGAAAGCCTATGCTCCATTGGAGGGAATAGGTGTGAGTAAGAAAGTAGTAATTACAAAAAAGACTAATCATTGAGAATATGGTTCAAGATGGTATTTATGAAGAAATAATGAAAATCAGGATCTAGATGTTAGACAAAAAGTGAATGCATTTAAGGCACTGTGAATGATTCTAAACTATGTCACAAGATCACAAGTGATCGCGTGGACTCCAATAGGTAATGCCAATGTATCTATGTAACTCATACCAAAAATTTATGAATTCATGAAATGATACATGTTTCGGTTTGACCGGTCCATGCTTTACTGTAACCTGATTCGACGCCATTTGAAATCATCCCATCGAAGCAAGCGATCAAAAATGAAATATTTTAAAATGCGAATCAATAAGCATCAAGTATTTTCTAATTGAATTGATATAGTGAGAAACGTCCGATGAAACTACTGCTATATACTAATGACTTCAGGTTGTGGGACCATGAATGTATATTGTAAAAGAGTTCCATTCTTTAAGAGTCCCACACAAGGATGAAACAGCTGACTAGTTTTTCAGTGGTTGTCTAACTTAAAATCAGTCTATGATTTAGACTGATCTATTTAAATAAAAATCACTTTCAACCATAAAAATATTTATGAATTAATAAAAAGGTATTTTATCAGAATGTTATTAAACAGTCATTTATTAATTTGTGGGTTAAAGGTCTTTTAAAATTGATTCATTTACTCGATATTTCGAATGATCAGACGGTAGATGAAATTCATACCTATACAAAATTAATTTACAGAGTATCTAGTAATCGGGATGAAATATTTGTCCAATACGACATGATTTTCAACAGTTCCTTACGAGCTGATTTTGCTAGTAAGTGGTGAGGAGGTATGTTTTTCAAAAAAACAAGAATTTGTTTACGAATAACAATGAGTATTATTTCATAGATGGTGAACAAGCTGTGAATCGCATGTGGAGAAATTCAAACACTTCACTTCTATCTGAAGTTTGTGCCGATGATGTCGTTCAGAAGGATGATGAAAGCTCCACAACCAAACCATCCAGCTTAGAGAACAAACCTACATCAAAATATTATTTCATAGCTTAGCATTCTGGATGATACTTTGGTTTTGTACAGCATAGTCAGGCTAATGAACCGTCTTCGTCAAAAGTAAAGGAACATAATTCTAAAGACTTCACCATCATTGTGGTTAGACACATCTTCCATTAGATTAGGAAAACTCAAAAAAAGAAAGTCAAACCATATTATTGAAATCACAGACTGATCTAAGTTAGACAAACATTAAGAACCTACAAGCATTGTAAAACTATTTCGTCATAATGTGAGACTTCTCACCAGTGTGCATTTACGACCGCGAACACCAACGTTTAAGCTCTAGACTATTGAAGGAAATCCTGATGGTGCATAAGTCTAACTTCAATCAGTCAAAAATATTGCTCAACCATTTTCCGTTTCTTCCATGGATACCTTCCTCAAACTCTACATGGTATAGCTCCATTGGTCACATCATCTCATTAGAACTACGAAAATTACGCTTGTGCACCATTGTATATCAGCTCATTAGTCTAAAGCTAAGCGTTCGTACACGATATCAGATGTCCTTCGTTCAAATCCCAGTTTCGAAGTAGTAGATGCACACTTCTAAGGGGTCTCATACTACAACTAAACAGCTATCCAGTACTTTCAGATTTTGAATGATTGTCTGACTTAGATCGATTCTTGATTTGAATGAAATTCAACAATGTACACAAATCGACGACTTACAATTAACTGATCTGTTTTTGAAGGATATACATTCTGTTCTACACTTGATGGACAGGTGTCAGAGTTTATAAATGGATTCGATTTGGACATTCCATCATGTTTATTGATATTGTTCTCTATAGATTGTTCTTTTAATTTAGTATCCATTCGATTTAATGCTTCTTGTGCTTCAGCTAATTTCATAATTAATTGATTTAATTTACAACGATCTTCAACGCATAAATCTTGTAGACGACATAAATTTGTTCTTGGAATCGATTGTCCGGTTGATTGAATTTTATTTAAGTTTTGTTTAAAATCCTGAAATAAAAAAAATTAATGATTAAACTTAGATGATAGAATATTTCTTTACAGATTGGAGGTTAAGCGCTCGAGTGCGAGACTGGTAGGTTCTGAGTTCAAATCTCGTGAAGCTGTATCGTGGATGGGCATTGCTGAGGAATCCCACGATAAGACGAAACGGCCGTTCAGTGCTTCCAGGTTTTCTATGGTGATCTAGCTTCGATTGACTCATGGTTTCAACTATAAAATTACTAAAATCTCCACAACCCTCCCTTCTGTTTATCTTAATTTGTAGGTGACATTATATACACGGATTGATTGATTTAATTTGAGATGAGTTCTTACAGTTCTAATGAAAAGTTGTGACCATAGGAGTTTGAACATGATTGAAGTGAAACAGGTGTCATCAATGGAATGGAATAATTGTTATACTATATTCTGAATCGACTCCGCCTGTAGCTCCTCCGGGGGCTACAGCCGGTCCCATGACCCGGTAAAGGAGGAGGGTTGAGCATAGGGTTAGCGACCCCATCCCGTAGAAAACCAACTCGCTAAAAAGACGCTTACCAGAAAAAATTATTCAAACCATTTAAACTCTGCCCTGGGGGTTGAAGCAATAATTATGATGCTTCATGATGAAAGCCGAGTTTCTTCGGAATTCATGAGGCCAATGCACCTTCTTACAACCAGAGCAACAATTTTTATACGTACATGGAACGTCCAGACAATGTGGGAGACCGGAAGAGCCTTCCAAATTGCTGCAGAAATGAGGAAATACAAAACTGTAGGTGCTTGGAATCAGTGAAACACATTGGACGCAGTTTGGACAACAACGACCATCTTCAGGGGAACTTCTGTTATACTCCGGCAATGGACAAGAAAATGCTCCACATACACAAAGAGTTGCATTGATGCTGTCCAAACAAACACAAAATGCACTTATAGGATGAGAATCTCATGGACCAAGGTTCATCAAAGTCTCCTTCAAAACAAAGAGAGAGGGCATTACAATGAACATTATTCAATGCTTTGCGCCAACCAACGACTACGATGAAGACGTTATTGACCAATTCTACGATAGGCTGCAGTCGATCTTCGACAAGTACCCAACAAAGGACCTGACTATTCTGATGGGAGATTTAAATGCCAAGGTTGGAATGGACAACACTGGATACGAAGACGTCATGGGAGGACATGAACTGTGAGAAAGGAACAAAAATGGTGAAAGATTTGCAAACCTATGTGCCTTCAATAAACTGGTCATAGGCGGCACTATATTCCCATATAAACGCATTCACAAAACCACATGGACTTCACCGGATAACACTACACAGATGCAAATCGACCATATCTGCATCAGCAAAAACTTCAGGAGGACGATAGAGGATGTGAGAACCAGGAGAGAAGCTGATATAGCATCAAATCATCATTTCCTGTTCCCCATGGCATTTAGGGTCTCAAGATTAAACAATTAAAACTGATAAATTAATCAAATCTATAATTACTTTATCATTTTTTCTTATTTGATTTGATATTTTCAATTTTGGTTTATTTACTGATTTCCAGTTATTATTGACTACATTCACATGGCTTGTTGAAATAATTTTTTTGTCTGGAATAGACATTGGCCTTCTTAGTTCATTCGTATATTCACTATTGACATTATGAAAGTGATTCATTATCCAAAAGAGGATAATGTATCTTTCTATGATTGGGGAACAAATCGAAGATATTCAATGGTTGATTTAAATCATAAAGCTAAAAAAGAACACAATACAATAAAGAATATAATAAAACATTGAATATTGATCAAATACGATGAATAAAAACTAACAATTCATATAGTTGAAATCATGAATCAATTGAAGTTAGACTACCAAGGAAAACCTGGAAGCACTGGATGACCGTTTCTTCCTATTGTGGGACTCCTCAGTGGCAGTGCGCATCCACGATATCGCCTCACGAGATTAGAACCCTCTTAACAATTGATATGTTGAAATCAATCACTTAAGGAATTTCCATTCATAAAACTAATGTAACTATTAGTAACCAATGTTTAAAACCAAAACTGAAATCCGGTTTTTCCATTGTTGATGGTCTAAAGTTGACCAACCTTTAGAGTAAAGTGCTTCTCGTATATTTTGCACCTTTTCTCTCGTGTTCAAGCCACTGTGTAGTTTGAGGGTTACGAGACTAGCTTAGGATCCGAATATAGTGTTCGATCAGCAAAGACTTATCAGTGGCGATGGGAAAAACTACAATGAGTATTTCTTTGGGGAAACTAGAAGCCTTTATGGAGCGTCAAGAAAAGCGGTTTAAACAGTTTCAAATCAGAATCAGGGAAACCCTTATGCAGAAATTATGCATGTCCCAACAAAACTCTGCTTCTGGTGAATTACAAGTATCCCATCCCCGTCGCCAGTTGTTATATTGAGTGAGAGTGCGTACGTGCTATGTTTAATATATATGACGTTATGAGACCGCCAATTAGAGAGCATTGAAATTATCGATCGGATTAATGATACACAAAAGCCGTATGAGCAGTCTTGAACACTTATCAGTCCTGCTTTCTGTCTAGCTCAGCCAGTTAAGTCCAGAACACCAATCTCAGTCTCTGCAATATGAATCATTATTCTCAAACATACTGGGTTTATATACCAAACAGACAGACGACATCGTACCATAAAATAGAAAATAACATTTGCACAAGATCTAGCCAAATGTGACTATGAATAGGGGGAACAGTAATTAATGAACTAGGGATAACTCAAGGATGGTAAATCATACAGTAATAGTCTATGGGTCATAATAAAACTTATAATAAGCGGGACACGAATATGAATAGTTTAGTTAATTAACAATTATACAATACGAAATATACATATCATATTAGACCATAAATAGTCCTCAAAGTTACCATTTATAATTCTCTTCAGGATATAACATTCGCATCCTTAAAAAATCTTCCTTTAATAGTTAGACTGTAGTTAGTAGTGGAACGCAGGACACACTTTTCGTTCTATTCAATGTCTATCAGTTGGATGTTGTTCATATCAAAACCTGAGGCCAGTCAGTATTATACATTGACAAATTGACAAACCTTGACTTATATATTCATATCAGATGAACAATTTAACAACTAACTAACTAGATAAAATATTGGGCGTAAGAAAACAAAACTAATAAGTTCAAGTCCTAACGTGAACAGTAGCACTGGAATACAAGTATATCCAAGTGGTCAGTCCCAGGATAAACTGTGCATACTACATCTCATTGCGAATCATAAACCAACTACACTATATATCTTTAATTTAAATAATATACATTCTATATTTTATAAATTTAAGCATTGTTTTGGGAGGTTTAACTTTTTCAAGTCATGCGAATAACAACGTTACTGCAGAGACTTTAAAATAATTACATATCATAGGAAGGAGTATGATCAACGAACAGATACAAAAGAAAACCAATCTGTTAATTCGTGCCAACACAAAATCGAGGTTCAGAGTTTCCTGATAAATACATGCAACCACTTAACATCTAAAAATAGTGCACACTATCTCGAATCACTTGGACTAGTGATCTCAGCGCAGTTTATAGATAGTATTTAATTAATACTTAAAAAGGACCAGAATAACATAACAGGGCTCGATCATTAGTGTAAGGGGGGTTGATAGTTGCAAACCAGTGAGGCGTGTTAAACTGGGACGAAACAGCTACCCCGTGATTCCATATATTCAGTAATCTTCTAATTAAGATTATTTTATGGTATTAAATATGTTATCATTATTATTAAAACACATAAATATTGGTACAAGGAAGAACAAGATACATATGCACCACACAAATCTCATTTGATTTGTGCAAGGGCTATGATAACGCCCGGGTTCCCAGACTGAAGCAGGTGTTTTTCTTAGGAGGTCACACGCCGAGCACTTGAACTGAAGGTCTGATCCACAAGGCAGTGAAGCATCTTAAGGAGATGCAGTCCCATCGTAGACGGTGACCAAAGATTGATTCATACACCATTTGTTCCCTCAGGATACTGGAGCCAGCCCACGTGCATTATTGGTTTGGAATCAGTGTTTTCCAACTCCCCTATATAGACTTTCCGTGTCCACTAACCCGGTTAAAGAGCCTGACATTCGCTTTTCGTCCGCTGAATTTCGTAAACAACAGTAATGGCATGAGAAGGCAGTGATAAGGACTTCGCTGGCAGAGGCTATATACGCGTCTCCATGTGAGAGCATTTGGAGAGGGAGAGCGGACCCTCCCCACTTTCGGACGTACCAGGGGAGTTGGGGGCCGGCGATCATATCACGTAGAAAGGACCGGTTGTCGTCCGATCACCGCAGTTAAGCAACGTTGAACCCGGTCGGTACTTGCATTAAATATGTACATGTGTCAATTTTAGTGTGTGAAGCTCACACGATGTCAATCCTATCAAACAAATTAAATTCCAAAAAACAAAGGTAAAACTGATTATTAGTTAAAAAGTTTTTCAGTTTTATGTTTCAGAAATAATTTTATGGTCTTTTCCCAATTCAATCTAATACAAGCAACAAGCTTGTGGTCAGTGATTGAGCCCATGCTGAGCATGATTTCAAGCAACCTACCCGAGACCTCTAGATTAGCTCCAGAACAAATGGAAGGTAAGAGAAAACAAAGATAATGAAGAAAATAATGTGGAACTCATCAAGCTAGATAATAAAACAGTATTACTAGGGCAGGTTTATGGTGAAAACAAACTATTTTTAAATACATAAGGGACAGGTCAGTACCTTGGTTATCATAGTTATTGTCTAGTTCAATATAAACGGGGCTTGATAAAGGGCCTATGTAATAGGATTGATTGTATTTGTACAAACGACGCTATTGACGAAGTAAGGTTGTTGAATAAAACACTAATGGAAAATGGTTATCTCTTAAAATTCGAAAATCGATGAAAAGGTAACAGAATAGTGAGACCTACTACATTTTTAGCATAGAAAAAGCTTCTCTACATCACCTTACGGCTAAGATGTGAGTCAAACAGCCTTTCATTAAGAAAGCTTAAATCGGTTACTAGCATGCAAGGCCCATGCTTCGCCGAAAAACTAGAAAGCAGAAATACAGTTGCGTCATATCCCAACGTTTACCAATTTAAATGTGCGTGTGGTCACTTATACATAGGGAGGAGTAATCTTGATTTGCAAACTAGGGTGTCTGAACTTGTACCTAAATGGTTGCAGCAAAGTACGACTTAAGACCTCCTCGCGGTGTCGCTGGGCCGTAGGAGCCACCTTGCTAGCTAATTTGGGAGGTCTGTGATCGGACTAAACCACAACTGTTATAAACTGGATTTTCTTTTTCGAAGCTCCCTGAAAATCTTGTGGGCTCCTCGATGTGTAGTTCATGTATATGAATCGCATGAGTTTCAGCTTGTATGGTTTATGTATGCATGTATATGCAAAGGGTATGCGCGTGGGTTGACACAAGGGACATAAGCTCAAAATATCTGCTCTATGTTTAATAAAATCAGTGGCCTAATCCTTCAATTAGAAGACATAATAAGAAAATATTGTGGTAAATACTAGGGTGAGGTGACCATAAATTTCCCCTAAAAGAGTGGCTATGCTTATGTATGTCATGTAGTGATGAAGAGATAGGCTTTGTGCTAGTGATATGAATGCAATAGGTGAGTCAGCTGTAGCAAATACGTTCAAATGGGACAGTGACCAACTGCTCATTCGCCTGCAAATAGGCGAATGTGTGTATGCGAGCGGATACAGAGGCAAATTAACAGTCATATCGAATCAAAGCGAAGATAGGAAAGGTAAACGCTAATAGTAGGATTTCAGTACATATATGTATGGGAAACAGGATACTCATGAGCGACATTCGAGCTATTAACATTTAAGCCAGAGAGAGATACGTGCGTAGGCTGTCACATGTGATCAAGCGTACAATTTTATACAGACATGATAGTGATCATAATGGTACAAAGAAATAGACTAATTGTTACTGTTAGAATAAGATTGTCTGTTAAGTAAGTTAATAAAAGAGCATAACAAAAATTAACCCTATTCGAAAGTGATTGTAGGAGAGTTGCTATAAATATACCTATATCTATGTTATGGGAAGCATGAGTGGAAACTAGTGTTACCGGTGTGCAATGTTACGGACATTTGCTCATAGGGCAAGTAAATCTATGTGTATACGTAGAGATGTATGGGTAAAAGCTTATGTATTACCACTATGTATGTAGATCAAACTTGCTCTAGGTGCGACGTCCACACACCAAGACATGGGAGTAAAAATCTCCCCATAACGTCACATCCACGCTGTAGCCTTATGAGCCTTGAAAAACGGAAACCACTCCCAGAAAAGTTATTCGGCTTCACCAAATAAGGCTTTATCAACTTAAGCACGGCTAAAACACCGCAACTTAATGGTTACATAACAGATAAAATGAAATGACTGAGTTAAAACAGGTCATGAGATTGATCTTAACCGAGCTTTTGCACTGTTTTACAAGTGTTCAATGTCATACACTAAGGTTTACTGAAGCTTTGATCATACGAAAAATGCAAACTCCTCTTATGTCAGACAAGGTACGCCTGTTACTCCCAATGCAGCATAGGCCGCCGACCAGCATTTTCCAACCCACTCTATATTGGGCCTTCTTTTCTAGTTCTATCCAGTTTTTGTTCATTCTTCTCATGTCTGCCTGTCTCCATTTCTCGGCGTAATGTGTTCTTTGGTCTTCCTCATCTCCTT